CCATTTGGAAGAATCTGTTAAAAAAAAATTTCGGGATAGTGGGTTTGATTTAGCAGTAATTCTAAGCGGTCTAACCAATATTTGTCAACCACTCGACGTTTCAATAAATAAGCCCTTTAAAGACTATCTTCACAAGGAATGGCATATATGGATGGCAGATGATGATGCTAGAGAAACTGCTTCGGGAAACCTTCATCGTGCTAGAATTAGCGATGTGTGTTTATGGGTCAAGCGTTCCTAGGAGGCAATCTCAGGTGAAATTATTTTTGAGTCTTTTAAGACTTGTAAGATATCAACAGATTTAAATGAATTAGACTCTGATTTAGAAATTAGTGATGATGATAATAGTAATAGCATTAATGATAATAATGCTGATGATAATGCTGATGATATTGTTGATGATGGTGATGATAGTATTGATGATGGTGATAGTAATGATGATTCTGATTAATTACTGTTAATAATAGGATTATATTAAATGATTTTTGTTAAGCAATATTCATTAAATAAAAAAATATGCATTGATTTGAATTATTTGAAGCATTTATTTATTATTTAAGTGTTTTTTTATAATATTATATTTTGTTTTGATGTAAAATTTGAGATGTTATTTATTTTTGAATACTAAGTAATTTGAGGGTTGCTTATTTTCAGAGGTTGCTTATTTTCAGAAGAATACGGTAATTATTAAATTTTTTGAGGCAGAAACATTTCAAAATGTGTATTATTGCGTTTTAAAAATAATACCTTATTTACTAGATTAGGTGATAAGCTTGTTTATTTTGCAGAAATATGATTTCAGCATCAGAAAATAATCGTTCGCTTGGCACTGAAGTGGTAGGGATCGAAAGATATTTCCTTGCAAGTTGTGTCAAAATGGAAAAACTATCCCTATGATTTATCCACCAGGTTAAAAGAATCGTCTTTAACTTTAATATTCTTTATATTTTATAGCGTGATACTTTGTTATCATCATCTGTAATTGTTTGTATGCAATCACCTTCAAGATCATGAAAAAATCATTGTCATCATCTTTCTGATCCTTATCTTCTGTCAGTTCTATATCATCTGGAATATGAAGACTTGATTTTAATGCATCATATTTTGTTTTTACTAATTGAAGTGCTTTATCACGTTCATCTAGAGTCACCCAATTAAAATATTTAATCCTTAGATCAAGAAATGTAACGATCAAAGTATTATCAGTCAGAATGAACTATAATTCATTTAACGAAAGATAAATTGCAGCTTGAACTTTTTCAATCAATCTAGTAGTATCAACTGATGGTAAGTACTCAATTTGATTTATATTCTCAATGCTTTCGATTCTTATTCATTTTCTAACTAATCCCATTTGAATTTGTCTTCTTTGATCGCAGATTTTCATTTTTGATAAAATTGTTAATGTGCATATTGCCATTGTTATTGAGTACCAGCAGCAGGTATGTCATTATCAGTTATTTCATCATCACTTTCTTCATAATTTTCTCTATAGATAAGATTTAGATAAGATTCGATAGTCTCTTCTTTATCTGATTTCAGAGCAAATTGTTTTTTAAGAGATTCCATAAAAGGATGAATAAGATTAAGAGTAGAATAGCTTATATCACACAAATGTGAGTCACAATTTCGATCAGTTCTAATAGCTTTACTACATTTTGTATAAACCTACAAAATAAATAAATAATAAGAGTTAAAAATTTAAATTTAAAATATAAAATTTATCTTTGTATATTAAAAAATAAAATGAGACAATTGATAATAAAGTTAAATAAAAAATATGTATTACTCTTTTTCTGCAACTGATAAGCAAAGCCATTCTAGTTTTTCACCTTCTTTTTGAGAAGCACAATCTGTTTCTGAAAGAAGCGAAGTTAAAACAAATCTCATTGAATTATGCAATTCTAGAATACGCTTTCAAGCCAGATAGATAGAGTTCCATCATGTCTTGACATCTGTTAGAAGGTCAAGAGGACTTTGAATAAAATCTCTTTCAACTTGATTATTTTGCATTTCGCGTAAATGTTAAGCTTGCTTAGGAAGCCAAAAAAAAGTTTGTAAACTTTTGACATGACGATGAATAGCTTTACATTGTTTCAGTCCCTCTTGAACTGATAATTGTAATGTATGTACTGCACAAGATTGACATTTTATATCGCTAATATAATTACTATTTAATAATCTTATTCTCTTTATCATATTAGGACTGTTATCTGTAGAAATGATAAAAACCATTATTTGAAGACGCTATTCAAAAATAATTCTTTACTAATTACTTCCCCAGTATGTGGATATGGAAGATGGTTGCAAGAAAGAAGAGCTTCTTGAAACTTAAAATCAGAAAATAACCAGGAAGTTGTGATACCTAAATAACTATGTCGGAACTTTGCAGTCTATAAATCAGTAGTCAAATGAATGCTTGTTACACTACTTTAAAGTAATGAGCTAAGTTGATCATAGCTCCAATTATATGCTTCATGTATTAGCCCATTAGCAGTTTTAACACATAGAATGCGAAATTCTGGCTTATACGCGAAAATAAATCACGAAAAAATTTATTCTCCAAAATATAAAGGGGCAAGACTAAATGAACAATAATTGTATTAATTTTCTCACTAAAAAGTCTTGTCTTTTAATTGAATATGATGGTGCTATTGCTGCATTATTGTAATAATTGGTAATTTTGTTTTGATCAAATTCTGGCTAATAAATAAATTTGCAGCTATTAGTATAAGTTAGATTCTTAAAATTTAATAATATTTAAATTTGAAATAATTGTATCTTGCCATATTCATCCAAGTGTTAAGTATAATTTTTCTTAGTTATATTATGACTATCTCATAAATAGTTTATCATACTTGTTGTATTCCTGCTTTTCTGGGTATATGCATAAGGTTTTTTATTAATTCCTGAATAATTAAGCTCACATATTTTACAATAATTCAGAGTTATTTTCATCTCTTCAGAAAAAAAAACTGATAAAGATGACATTTTTTTATTGAAATAACGATTAATAAATTTTGAGATTATCCTTGAAATATAGATTGATCAACATCAGAAAAATAAATCAATTTTGAATGAAGCATTTAGTACTTAAGCTACTAATAAACCCTATGGGATTACTAGGATTAGACATTTTTTTCGTTACATATTGAAGAGAGTAACAAATTTTACTGAATTCTTTTTAAATTTTTTTTTTATCTGCAGGTTACTTAATATCTATAATAAATTAATATAAATATTTACAATAATAATGCATAATAATGTATGTATGTGATTGATTTTCAAATGAAAATGACAGAATTTACCGTCATCTGTACTCCTATACTATAAACCGATAAAAACCGGTTATCGATTATAAATATAATCGGTTATCGATTTTACAAAATTCTGAACCGGTTTTAATCCGATACGATAAAAACCGGTTATAAATCCGATATCGATAACCGGTTCCGACCTCTAATGGGGACTTAGAATTTTTTCGGTAGGTGAAATCCTATTTGTCATCACTATTCGTCCAGTCAAATGCCGTGATGCCGGCCATTTCGTGACATTTTTTGAAGGTTACGCAAGTTTTGCGACTAACACCGGTTAACTGATCGATTTTAACTGACCGGTTGACCGACCGGTTAATAGTAGTATAATTGAGAAGTTTTGGCTTAATAGAAAGTTTTAATTTAAACACATTATAATTTTTGATTCTTGCTTTAACAATTCTAGCATGACATTTTTAAAACTACTATGTCATTTTTATTAGTAGCGCAGCATTATCGCGGACTTAATTTTTTTTTAAAATTTCAAAATTTTTAATATATAGATAATTAAAATAAAATGTTGATTTTGTTAATTTAATACAAAGCATTTTTTACATTTAAAACAATCAAGGAGCGAAAGTTGCGCAGAATCGAATTACGCAATCGAGATACCGAAAATACAAATTTTACGTAAAAATTCAACAAGCTTTCTCTTAAACAAATTCTACCTTCGACGTCATTCTTCCCATTATAATAAGAAATGAATTCAACGTTTAACGATCGAAAAGAATACATTAGAATGTTGGAACAAACTTTCGATTATATACATTTATTTCGAAACTTACTTTTTTAATTTATAATTTAAATTATGTTTTGTATAATTTTAAATTTATTATGATAATAATAATTAATATTATTAAATTATGAATACCATACCAAAATATTTCGCTCGCGAGTTATGGATTTGGCTTGAGTTAAATATTCTGGCTTCGTCACCATTAGTAATAGTAATCGAACACCAGGGAATTCGATAAAAAAAAAAAGAAGCTAACTTCAGGATTTATCTTTATATCAATTCTACAAAAGATTAATTTAAATAAATAAAGTTAAAAAGAAAAACTATAATTTTTTATGAAACACAAATCGAACTTTATTCTAATTCTTTTTGTGAATATTTTCTAATCTAAATCTGGTTAGATCAAGATAAAAGAGAGGTATCGATCGCAAATCTAGTTGATTTTCTTCTTGCCTTTTTATTTTCAGGTTCATATTACAATTAATTAAACTTTATTTCAATTTAAGAAATAATATTCATTACTATAATTTCATTTTATTAATTATAAAATAGTGCTAAAACAAGAAGGTAAATTATTTGATCGTCTCAGACCTCCTTAGTAATGATTTTTCAAATTTTCGAAATGATCGCTTTCTTTTAAATTTACTATGGAAGATTTTTTAATTCATCAAAATTCATGTTAAAACTTTATTACTGTGAAATTATTTCAAAGGAAACAAAATGGATATCAACAAAATTTGGTACAATCATGATGAAAAAGTACTGATTGGAATACGATTTTTTTTTTACTTTTTTCCTTTTAAAAGGGCAATCATTTTTAAGAATCCAAGCTTATTTGATAACTAACATTCACCAAAAAAAAAAAACCTCAACAAACTCAACTTTTCAAAGTAATCATAATCATGAACCGAAAATTTATATTTGCATTCCTCTTATTGTTCACGCTTTCCATGGTCAATGCGATTCCACATAAACTTCTTAAAAGAGCTGACTATTATTCATGTCCACAAGACCTTTTCTTACTCCGTGGATCATTTACAATAAGTGAACAAAAGGTTATTGCTACTGTTACCGGAACATTGAAGAATGACATTACCGAACAAACCAAACTTGTGGTTGCATTTGGTGATTCGAATGTAGCTGCCTTAGCAGAACCCATTGTTTTTGATGCTTGTACTGGAAGTGGATGTCCAATTAAAGCTGGTGATGCAATTAATCAAAAGGTAGAATTTAAACTACCGGACCAATTACCTAAATCGTACAATACGGTATTTAGTATGGCAAATTCAGAAAGTGATATTCTAGGCTGTTTTGATTTTCCATATAGTTTTTAATAATTATATTGATTTTAATATTTGATTTTGATAAATCTTGAAACGAAAGAGAAATGTATTTATATCTAACACTACTCATTTAAACAAGTTACAGCAGTTCGTCTCCTTTTAATGATTTATTTCGTGTTCATGATTCTTGGAATAAATCCCGTAAATACAAAATGTTTTTACCATAAAATTCGGATATCTCGAAGAAGTAGAACATCCTTTATAGTATTTATCTTTGGAATTTTTTTTTAATAATTTTTTTTTTTTTGCTTTAATAATAGATAAGAATGATACCTTTAATATGAATATTCAAACAATTTCTATGAAAAGGTGAATTAGGAAGTGCAAACATAAATCTTTATAATTAAACTCTGTGTAACAATTCGCATTCGCAATTTAATTACAAAATTCGGATTCATTTCATATATAATATCGTATTTAATTGTTACATTATTTAATCGTTCAACTAAGAATATAATTTATTTTTTTATTTATTTTTTTTTTCTTTCTTTATATATATCAAGTCAAATTTCTCTCTTTCTTCAAAATTTTTTTCACGCCTATATTCAAAAATTTACACAAAAATTTATACAATAAAAAATACATTCCACCGTAAAAAAGGTCAGAATTAAACTGAAATTGAATTCATTTTTTTAATATTTTTTTCTTTACATTTATTTTTATAGAGTATCTTGCAATGATCGGATCAAGAAGTTTTGGCTACACGAATTTCCAAATGTTTTATGTATTATTAATTAATTAAAATGTTATTTTACGATAATATATAAGGCATTCATCCTTAAAATTTTTACGTCGAACTTTAGCGACCATGTGAAATGTACCAAATATTTATTTAGCTACGCACATGACATTTTCGGTTCAAGTCACCCGGCTGGGGTTCGTTAATTTGCTTAACTCTTTTTTTTTACCCAAATATTTGATGAGAACTCTTTCGTTCTCTTAAACCTTACAAGAAACCTATGAAAGAATACGACTGAGCTTGATTCTGTAGAAAGAGGTAATGATCCTAGGAAGAAAACAATTAAGTCAAGAGTTTGTGATCCTTGGAAGAAGTTCGATCCCAATGAAAGTGGTTGTGACCTTTGGAAGAAAAAAATCTGACTTCTTTAATTCTGGGATCCTTGAAAAAAAAATTCCGACCTTGATGTTGTGTTCTTCGATCCCGTCATTTGGTCGGAGAAGACCATCCAATTTTATCAATCCTTTCAAGAGGTCTTGTCTTTGTTGAAGTTCGCAATTGGTCATGATTTTTGAAAGAAAAGTTCGATTTTATCGATCCCACAAAGTGGTCTTATTCATTAAAAAAAACTTTCATTATTTTTTGTTAAAGTCGATCTCGCAGATTAGGCCGTGTCTTACGATGAATAGAACCCTTTTTATCATGTACGTGTTTCATCTTTTTTATTCATGTCTACCTCTTCTGCTTATCAACGAGAAACTGAAAACTTTCCATACGAAAAATCTCAAGTTCCTTCCCTGTGAAAAATGGCCACTCCAGCAACAGTATTGATAAATATTCAAAGAAAAGAAGGCACATCATTACTTTTACAATTTACAATATATCATAAACAATGATATTCACACATTCGTTGTGTTGCTCAGGAATTCCTATACAATAAGATAATGGGATAAAAATTTAAACAGATCGGGCATTGTCAGGTGCTTATACTCAAACAGTTCGTCTCGACAGGTTTGGGATAATATTATCCTTGCAAATACTGAAATGGTTGCGTTTACCAGTGACAATTTTTCTGTAAAGATATGTTGACTCTTAAATAAGGATCGATTATGCTACATTCTTAATTTTAACTAAAATTTACTACTGGAATTTACCATAAAATGATTCTCAAATGAATTTGCTTTTTATAGAATGACGTTTAAATCGTTCAGGACTTCTGGAAAAGTGATTTCATCTTCACCATCACCATCACCATCGACACCTATTGATTTATTAGGAAAGAGACAAAGTGTTAAATCATTGCCGATGAAAAAGCAAGGTGTGCTCATGGTGGATATTACCATTTATATAATAAAATGATCAAAAAAAAAAGCCTCACCTCATCGCTGTAATTGAAATAATGGTAACAGGATCAATCCGAAACTCCAAAAATATTTTGAGAAAGCATTAGATATACCAATCAACTTCATCCTCTGGAAGTTTGGGTGTGCAAATTTTCACGGGAGGGTTCTGTAACATCGAATCCTTATGACCTTGTAGTGCGTTACATTAGTTCACTTTTGGCACAATAAAGATTTTGCAAATGGTCAGATGAGCACCAGACTGATATTTTTTTAATTCTTTCGAATCATTCTCAGTTTCCATCGTATTGAAAAAATCCAAAACATCCGATTAACTTTCAGTTTTAAACGAATCACTGGTTCAATTAAAGCAAACATTGAAATTTGTGAAGCCCAAAAATGATCGCCCTTTTATTTTACATTATTTTTAACTAGAGTTTGCGGTTTGCGGAGGGGACTTCGTCCCCTATTTAGCATTAAATAATTGATCACGTAACCAATTCAATTAAACTTTAAAATTTCATTTATGATAAATAAAAATATAATTTTTATTAATTAAATTAATTTTTCTAATTTAATTTTCTTTGCAGTTAATTTTTTTTTAATTATTTTTATTAATTTATATTTTAATTTATATTTTATTTTAATAATTTATTTTTTTTGATTTAATTTTTTTTCGGTTATAGATTACACTTTTTTTTCTGATTTTTAATATATGCAATTTTATTAATAGATTTTTTAAATAGCAAATTAAAAAATATATATAAAAAAAATCGTGGATATTAATTAAAATACTCTCAAATGTTTTTTAAAGTTGTTCAAAATTTATCAATAATACTAATAGCATTTTATATACTTTTTATTCTATTTAAATATAAATAAAATGATTAAAAGTCATTAAATAGCATAAAAAGTGAATTCATGTATCATTAGCATTACGAACTCGACGAATATCAAACCTACTTGACACAAATTGAGATTTGAGTATTTTCAAACCTTCTGAATAACTTAACTTAGACTAAGAAAGGCGATTTTCTTGAACTAAAGTACCAAAATAATGCTAACGTTAAAAAAGTGAATTTGTGTATTATTAACATTATGAACTTTACGAATATCAAACCTACCTTAACGAAAATTAAGATTTGAATAGTTTCAGATCTTTTGAATAACATTACTTAGACTATAAAAGGTGATTTACTTGAACTAAAGTGCCAAAATAATTCAAAATATTAAAAAAGTAAATTTGTGTATCATTAGCGTTATGAACTTGACGAAAATTGTGATTCAGATAATTTCAAACTTGCTGAATAACTTTATTTAAAGTATCTTTATATATTTCATTTGACCAAAGTTTCTATATTTCACCTGAATAAAAAAATAAAATAAAATAGATTGACAAAGATTAGCGAAATCAATAAAAATATATTTTATTTAAAATATGATGGTTAAATTTAATATAATACAAAAGTGTTATAGAAAAGCTTAAATCTCAATTTATTCTAATTATAATATAGTAGCATAGCTATAGCTGTAGCTGCAGTTATAGCTTATAAAACAGCTATATAAACTTCAAATTTGATGTAATACCAAAATCAGTCAAAATATATAGAGATTGCTGAAGATTTATATAACCTAAGATCAAATTAAGTAAAAAAGTGAATAAATGTAGAAATGATCATAACTTCAAAAGTATACCTTCGCCAATTTATAATATTTGTAAAACAACCATTGTATATTTTTATCTTTGTAATCTTTTTATCTTTTTTTTAGAAAAATTTTATTTCAAACTTTCAATAATACTCTTAAAAGCTTATTTTTTTATTGATAGCATCTATTCAGAAATTTCTGTAAGAAAATAAGTTATTTTTAATTTTTTACTTTACTTTATATGATTTAAAATTACAAGAGTTTGAAACTTAAACGGTAAAAGGTTTTTTTTTAAATAATAATAGAGATTCTAAAATTAGTGTATTTAAAGAAAGATAGAAATGTTATTGCTTTTAAGGTAGAGATTGTCATATTGTTTTAATATAATGAATTAGTCAAGAACATAGCAAAGGAAATTATCGTTTAAGTTATATGAAGTAACTTCTTTTAGCTTTCAAAAATTATTAATTGAGTAAGTATATGTGAATTATGTTCATTTATATTTGTATAATGAGAATTAACTTGTTCAAATTTTGAAAAAAATGTAAATAAAAACTATAGCAAAAATAATATAAAATATAAAAACAAAAAATAATTATAAGCTTAGGTTTAGAAATACATTGTAATTAAAATTGAAATTAACCAATTATCTAATTTTTTTTGACCAAATATAATGAATTATTTTGTATTCTAAAATATTTAAATAATTAATTATTTACCTTTTAGTATACTAATTAATCTAGACTCATCCATATATTCAACAATAAACTCATTTAGCTATTTTAGTTATAAAGCAGACTTGTTATTATCCTGAATTCATTCTATCTTTATAAGTATTAATTAATAAATTCATATATAAACTTTTTGTTTATAAATTTGAATTATTATTTAATTCATTTGAATTTTTGTAAATTTATTTACAAATAATTTGAAAAAATGTTAATTATTGTTCGAGATTAGAATATATTCAAACTTAAACCTATCAATATTTATAGAATTCAAATTTGAATTTAATATACTTATATTTATATATGCTGATTACGTGAGAAATCAAAAATTTTTTGAATATTTTAGAAAATATTATATCATATATTTATTTTCCTAATATAGTAAATATATAGTGATTATTGAAATTCTTTAACAATTAAAATTATAATAATTATCATAATCAGTAAGCAAAACCTGATATTTTATACTTGAATATCTTAAAAGATTTTAAAACAAAAAAGTTACGTCAAAAAAGGTATTTACTAATTTATCTTAAATTTTGATTAACTAGTATAATTGAGATTATTTAGGTTAAGGTTAGGTATTAGGTTTTTATTACCAGTGTAATATTAGTAATATTTTAATTTTTATTAAATCTTTGAGGGACTTTAAATTTTTTTTATTGATGCTTATTTGTCATACTATTGAATGTTATAAATAAGCATAATTAGTTATACTAACCAATTAGAGCTTAAAGATAAATTAATATATTTACCAATATTTTAAACTATTTGTTATCATTTTCTTAATATTTTAATTAACTTTTATTATATTTTAAATCACATTATTTTTTTTTGCAAATTTCAAGTTGAACAATTAAAAATGAAATTCAAAAATATTTTTTATATTATATTTATTTAAATAATATTTACATAATTACAATCAAAAAGAAGATACCATTTTTAAAATAAATACAATAGAATATTTTTACTAGATAAGCAATATTTATTTTTAAGAAATAACATATATATACTATATTTATATTATATAAATTATAATAATATTAAATTCTAAACAAGTTACATGTTATAAATGTTAAAATTTCTTATAATTAAAAATAAATAAACTGAAAATTGATAAGAATATATAAAAGAAAGATATTATTCTATGAATTTAATTTTATAAATTGTTATCATTTTCTAATTTCATCTAATTTAGTTTTAAAGATAAATGAGATATTAAAAATTAATTAACAAATTCTCTTTTAAATTTTAATATTATAAACCATTTTAAACTTTTGAAATTTTATACTTTTTTTCATTTTGGATTAATTCTGCAATAAATTTTTTCTTAGTTTTTTGTCTATAATGTTAAGTAGGTTTTTTAAAAAAAAAAATTAAAAATAAATAAAATAAAAATTATGAAAATAAATTAATAATATCAAAATTCCTAAAGATATATAAAACTTAAAAAAGTCAAATTTAATTGTTAATTTATTAATACCAGTTCATTAGATATCTATGAAAACAAAATAAATTAAATAGAAAATCATATTAAAATAGTATTCTTAATATATATCAACCTTTTTCTTGAATTTTAACAAATAAAATGATAACTTAAAATGTTATACACCTAAATACAAAATAAGAATATTAAACTTTCACGTTGATACTATATGAAGTCAATCCTATTGCGCTAAAAAGATTGATGAATAATCAACGTTATTAACATCATTAGCATTTTTAACTTAGTTAACATTTATATTTTATTATTTTATTCTTATATTTTATTATTATTATTTATTATATTAGTATTATCATTAAATTATAATTTATCTTTTATATTTATCTTAGCATTATAAAATAGTTTAGCATTAGATATTAAATTCTTATAATTACATTTTTGTATAAATAGGATAGAAACTTGTCATTGTAAAAGGGCAGAGATAACAGTGTAAACTCAATTGTTCGAGTTCAAGACTTAGAATCTAAGATTAAGGATTGCTAAGGATACAAATCTCTACAATAAAAGAATCTTTTTCTAAACTACACATATTAAAAATTCTTTAACGTGTCAATTGTGTTTATCGTATATACAAATTATTAAAGTTATTTTCTCATCTAAAAGTATAAACCTAGGGTTAATTATGATAGGACTTATTACATAGTAACCTAGTAGTTTCTCACACGTTACTCTCTGTTATTAAGTCATAGTTACCCTAAGTTCGATGAGCTGAGCGTAGGGTTAATAACGTATAGCCTAAACTTTTCAAAAACCTTTAGTATAGATGTCTGCCGAAACCTTCTCAAAATAATTTCGTCATACCCTTTTCTATGTTTTTAATATAGTTTCGACAGTTTCGGCTTTCGTCGTATCGAATGGGTTTCGTCGTATCTCTTATTATGATTTTAATATAGTTTCGTCTAAGTTTTGACTGTTATTAAGGGGTTTCGTCCCTCATCTATAACCTTTAGTAAAATAACAATTTTTTAATAAGCAATCTGAGAATGTTAAATCTCTTTATTCAGTTATTTATTCATTGATTATTTCAGAAACAGATATATTGCCTAACTTATGAATTTCCTTTTTTTTATATACTAATTTAATTAATAAACTATAATAGTTTTAATAAATTTTTTTATTATATATTTTATTAATATTTCAGATCTTGAAAAAATTTTTTTATTTACAATTTATGTTTTTTTTACAAAAAACATTTGATTTTATTTAAATTATAAAATATC